GTGTGTGTGTGTGTGTGTGTGTGTGTCTGTGTGTCTGTGTGTAAGATCGTCAGAGAAAGAAAGACTCACATTAGTTGTAAAATGGTGAGTAGAGTAGGTCATGGAGCGTGGGAAGGAAGCCACCAAATGTGCTTCATATGCATCATCTCCATTGAGATTTGTCACTTTGACCTCCAAGGCGATGTAATTCTGATTACCAAGTGAAATCTGGGGCACGCCAAGGTCCCTTTAAACACACAGAATTTATGCACATGTATGAATCTTCACATAGTATGTATAGTATTGAAATTTAATATAATAACTCTAAAAGTTTAAAGTATATCTAATTTAAATATACAAATACAAACAAGTGCAAAGCTCTTCACAAAATGTCATTAAATAAAACCAGCCCACAATAATTAAACACTAATTAACAGTTTCCAGGGGTGGGACAGTGATATAGTACCTAACCTTTGCTTATAAAAACAAAATACATAACAATGAAATAAACAATCCAAGTTTTCCTATTTTTCATTTACTGCGGTGAAGAAAAGTGTATTGTTAACTAGGCACATGCGGTAATGTTCATATTGCCTGTAAGCAGGGCACCTACTGAAAGTACAAAACACAGAAATGAACGACTCAACATCAACATCTACATTGTTATTCGGTTTGGTAGTTGTGATTCTGTCCAGTAGATACTAGGAACCGGTGCCTTTGTGTGTGTGTGTGTGTGTGTTTGTGTGTGTGTGTACCCTCTTACAGTTTTAATGGAACAAATTCCTTGACGTTGTCACTCTTAATGCTGCCGTAGCGATACTGCACCTGCAGGTTGCTCTGGCAAACATTGTCGCTGCCACAACCCTCCTTCCGAAAATTCACCTATAAACACATGTTAAAGATAAAACCGGGTCAGAGGGAACATCTGCCACGATACAATGTCAAAGAGATCTATCAATAATAAGTTCATACACACAGTGTCGTGCGTATACCCACCACTGATAGACCTGGCTCCTGACTGTCTAGAACAGGGGGTAGAGGACCTGTGCTCTGCCTGCGTTTACGTTTGGTGTTCTGGATGTCCACAGACACCTGGATGGGGATCCCCTGCAGCTTGTCTCGAATGTTTTCCTGTGTGATGACAGACAACACCACATGCAGCATTAAACACCACCCACAATGCCACGGTACTCAGGAGTGAATGGAGACTTTGATGACTTGAGAGAGTGACTACCTGAATGACAAGCTGACGTTTAATGCACTCTTTTGCTCCTTTGCTGTTCAAGGCGACGGTCCCTATGTTTTCAGAGGAGGTAGACCCGAGGAAGGTCGCTCTGGAACTGAGACCTTTCTTCCTTTGGTCAGCATCCGCCTGCATATTGTACGCCACCACTAGATGGAACAGAATAAGTTAGTTAGTTTGAGAAGAGTACGAGCAATGAAAAAAGACAATTTTAAGTTAATAAAATGAAACTGAGGTTTAATGAAGAAGAATGTTGCTCAGCTTACCCAGTTTGGGAGCGTAGCTCTTGGGGTTGGCAGTGTAAGTGAAGCAGGCCTCAATGTCCAAGCTGGAAACACAGTGATTATCAATCAGACACATCAGTATTAAATGTCAGTCTACATTTTATTCCAAACTCATGAGGTCATTGTGACTTTTGACCAATGAAATCTAATATGTTTATCTTTGAGTCCAAGTGAAAACTGTTCATTTGTGCCAAATGTACATGGATTCCCTGGAAGTGTTCTTGAGATATTGCATTCACAAGGCAAAACCTCACAGTGACCTTGAACTTTGACCAAAATCTAATCAGTTCATCTTTGAGACAAACTAAAAGTTTGGAACATATTTAAAGAAATTCCATCCAGGCATCCAAGAGATATTGTGCTCACAAGAATGGGGCAGACCACATACATCACACCTCTGGCCACTGGCTGTTACTGGCGCAGAGGCATAAAAAGACTGAGTTAAACAAATGATGGTTCCACTTTATGATTAGACGTTAAACATCACATTTAAAACAATGAATATGTTTGATAACAGTGTACACTTACCAAAAGCCACTGGCACAGTTCTTTTTGGTGAGGTCGATTTCCTTTGGCGTGAACTTGATTTCTTTCTTGATGTTAATAACTGGCCGGGATCTGGGAGGACCAAAACTCAATGAGCATCTCAGTGAACACTATGAGTGACACACGATCAGATTAACACATCAGTTGACTCACTTGAACACAAAGACAGAGTCGGAGAGGGATCCAACGGCCAGGTCGGGGTAGGAGTTCTTATCCAGGTCCATGTTGCCTGCCAAAGAGTAGCCAAACAGCCTCACACCTAAAGGCTGGCCCTCCAGCACCTACAGCAAGAGAAACACACATTCTGTAAGTGAGAACAAAGTATAAACCTATATTATTCTGGAAAGAATTTTTGCCAAAACTATTGTTGTATGAGGCTTTTAGCGTTTGATACGACAGACTATTAGGGCCACTTAAGAGAGAAAGTCAGATTTTGAAAATAAAGGCACAGGTTTTCCTTGCTACTTATTTCCTAAAAAATGTTTTTATCTTATTCTCGCAAAAGAAAAATTGAATATCAAATTTATTCTCTTAATATTACAACTTAACACTTGTAATATTATGACATTATTCTCAAAATCTTCAAATATTTCTTAAAACTGACAGTTTTTCAACCTCACAAAAAGAAAATGTCTTAAATACCTGCGCAGGTTTGTGTCCTGTAGCTGATCCACTGTAGATGTGAACCTTCCCTAACCCTTCGTCCTCATAAGGAGCTCCCACTGCAAAATCTGTCACAAAGATGCACAACAGTGCTTTTCAGTGTGGCTCTAAAGGTACAAGTATTTCAGTCACACAGGAATGTAATGAAAGGTCTGCAGGACAGTAGGATGCATATCTACAGGTGCTGCAGTCTCACCATGGTAACCATCCATATTTATGTCTCCCAGATTTTCCACAGCGATGCCAAACATGGAGTCTATAGGTCCGTTTATTCTGGTCGGTTTGACTGTGTTCCATTGTCCTCCTTTGTTGATGTAGACGTAAACGGCTCCACCGATTTCTCCGTCCTTCTCGAAGTACTGGGGTGCTCCCACAACTATGTCCTGCCAGCTAATTCACAACAGCAAAACATGTCTGTGAGGATACAGTGAAAATGGCACTTTTAAAGCCACGCACACGTATCGCCCTCCGTCTCTCACCTGTCCCCGTTGAGATCCAGCACAGTCAGATCATAGCCAAAAGATGACGCAAGCCCCTCCCCTTCCAGGGTGTACTCTTCCAGCAATATGTTTTGCGATTCCTCGCCTTTCTTCAGCAGCACCACTGCCCCGCTGTGGTTCGCCCGAGGAGCTCCTGCCACTACTGTCAGCACATTCTTCTTGATTAAATTCATGCCCGAGTCCAGAGAGAAGCCTGAGAGAAAGAGACAAAGGAACGCTTGCTTACATAAAAGGACAAACAGGTGCTTGAATATGCTTCTTTGTGAAAATGGAACAACTGGAGCCTCATGAGAATTGAGCATTTTACCCAGGTAGCTGTTGGGAGGGGCAGGGACCAGGTCGGCGTTCTTTTCTCTCTCGTCTCCCACCTCAAATGGACCATCCTCATATATGCCCATCTCTATTAGGGTGTCGTTTTTTTGTTCCAAGCGTACCACGCCTTAAAGAGAGGAGCAGAGACAACGTAATGAGATGGAATGGATTTGATTTGGGATAGATTTTGACATACACATATACACACATACTAGACTACCTTTCCAGTTGTATGCTCCTGGAGCCCCAAAGATGAGGTAGTGGTATTCCTTATCGAATCTGGCAGAGAGGCCTTGCTGGCAGGAGCCGAAACTCTCATGTCCTCTGGGCCGGCTGTCACAAAATTGCCAACCACCTCCATCTTCACTCGTCGATGGATCGATTTTCAAGTTCTGACTCAGCACGTAGCAGCGACCAATAATGTCACGAGCTTCAATTAATGAGCCCACATTATTCCGGCGCTGGTAGCGATGGGCACAGGTCTACCAGGGAAACACAGACACAGTGATAAGAATGAGTTGTGGTGTTTAGTGGAACAAAAAAAGTTTGATGTCTCAACCATTTTTCATTGATTTATTAGAACAGATAGTGTCACTGAAAGGAAGAACAAACAAGTTGAAGAATATGATAAATTAGTTTATGAGTTTACAAAATGTTAACACAAAAACAAAATAACACAAACTTTTGCTGCCACTGGCATGTCATGTTCTTTGTCCAAACAGATATAGAAATATTCCTATAGGATTAAATATAAATTGTCTATAGCTGATGTTCCTGATGTTCTTGGAAATTGTTATGTACATATTCAGAGATTTCACAGGCTAACAAATAATGAACAGAATAATAAACAGTAAACCAGTCCCCAGCTGAGGCTTTAATGGTCGTTATCCATTATCACATCAATTATTCAACAGATTTGTTTCAATCCAAGATAAACTTTAATGGCTGCAGCTTTTCATTAAATTGAAAAATGTAAATGTTTATGCATCATTTTGTTCTTTGTTCTAGTCAAATTGAATCTTAAATAACTTTGAAATAATAAAAATGTTTAATCAAGGGAACTCAATAAGGATGTCCATTATATAACAGATGTGTGTATATAAATGTATTTGAGTATTTTAGATAGATTGTTTTGAATAGTGTAAAAAACGCGTAATCGCGTAAACTACTAAACTACTTAGTAGACCTTTATTTGTATTTTATTTTTATGTTTAATTCATATTTTCGTGTTTAATCTCACTTTCTTATTTACTCTTGTGTCAACGAAGGACGAGCACAGTGAAAATTTAATTTGTGGTGCCACGCCCGTTGTACTGTTCAATAAGACATAAAGTCTCTTGAATCTGTTGTTGTTGTTCATGCTGCGATACAGTGACAGACAGCCATACCACAATCTTCCCTCCTGGCCCCTGACTGTTGACTGTCACTCCCATCCACTGGTTCTCTTTGCTCTCTTTTTTTGGATCCTCTTCACAGACATAGGAAACACAGAGAAGATACTGTGACTCAAATCATGGTGAGAAATAAACTGTCTCAAATCACCAAACAGATCAACTCACCATCATTATCAAAGATCACTCTGACGCAGCTGGTAGAGCTGGAGCTCATGTCACAGTTGTACAGTCCTCCTGTCACTTTGGCTGTTTGACCTTTTATGGCTTTCGCTCTTGGGGCGCCAACCAGCAGCCTGTGACACACACATACATATATCTATTAAGCCACACACTATATGCAGCTCAATCAAATGCACATTGTAAAACAGGCTCAGGCAGTAATACTCTTCTGTTATCTGGGATTCAGAACGAGGAGCGCTCTGGCATTTCTTCCACATGAACATTAATATTATAATAAATTCCAGTCTACTGTGTGACACAGCACCATATTCACACACTCACAAACACACACATCCGCCGCCAAACTGATGTTCCGTGTCCTCATGGTCCAGCTGAGTCAAAGACCCCTTTCAGATGCCTGCTGGGCCTGATTGAAGCAGGCTTTCTATCTCTTTCTCTGCGCGCACACACACACACACACACACACAC